GATGCGGGGCTTGATCCCAGGACCCTGGGATCATGACCTGAGCCGAAGGCAGACGCTTAACGACTGAGCCACCCAGATGCCCCTGAAAAACACCTCCTTTTATCAGATGTTACACAGACATCCTCCTCTTCCCTTGCTGGGAGCATGGCTGCACCTGATCCTATTTCCCAGACTGTTTTTGTCCCTATTTATTCCAGGCGGCTGGCTGTTAAGCTCAGGCCCTCCTCTTTGACTGATCCTAAGGTAGCTTTCCCACTGCTGATGCTCACAGCCTCCTTCATCCCGTTTCACTCTGGCTTCCCAGTGGGGGTTTAGTTCTGTACTAGTCCTTTCTACACTGTAAACCAGAAACGTATACTACTTTTGCATAACACTATATTAAATGTAAAAGAGTAGATGAGTCTTTAACTTACAGGCTTAATGTAAAAACAACCAAGTAATAAGCAAATGTTCGGAAATGCACCCAGCTTCAGTAAGCATCATTACACCCTGCCACTGTATGCACCGACACAGAGCTCCCGGCACCCCCGACTGTGCTCTCGTCCAGGGGATGCCCAATCCTCCCGAACCTTCAGAGGCTGGTTCAAGTGTTTGGAGTTGCCACTCTCACAACAACCCACCATCCCCAGGCACAATTATTTTTGCTTCCATCAGCCTCCTTTAGGCAGAGAGTAGTCCCATCTGTAGGAATTAAAGGTGTTAAGGAATTAAAGTGGCTGTTTGGGTATCTTTTACTTTGACAGACGGGAGGCAGTAAAAGAAGTGGTTAAGAGTGTGGTGACACCAGACCATCTGGGTTCCATTCCCGGCTCTACCTCCACCCAGATCTGTGACCTCCTGGGTAAGTTTCCTAGCATCTGTATGCCAGAGCCTCCTTCTCTGAAACTGGAGACAGTGGTACTGTATTTGCTTCATAGAGCTGATGTGGGATCACATGAGCTCACACATGAAGCATACAAAACTAGGCAGCCTGAGGTATCCATTAGCACCCCAGTTTCCTTCAGGGTAGACACCTCCTGACCTGCCAGCTTGCCAGGATTCCCCAGGAAGGTCAGCCCCTTCTCTGTGGCCTCTTACACCTCCCAGCCCCTCCTAGAATCCAGAAACAGAGAAATTACTCTTCCCCGTCCTTCTCCCCTGCTCTAGGGTCCCACTTTTTCAATTCTTTCATAGTTGTTCTGATGGAGCCTCAGATGGGAAGGGCAGGCAACAAGAGTGCCCGGGCTGTCATCCAACCAGTCCTCACAGAAGGGCCTCACTGCACTGACTGGCACCCAGCTCTATGAGGACCCTAAGCAGTAGTAAAAAGCGAGGCCTCAGACAACGGTGCCCAAGCAGCATGTCTGTCTCTGTAAAACAAACAGGAAATTTCCAACAACTGTTAAAAATACTTCTCTTCCAAATAGTTGGAGCCTCTCCTCTTCGGAGTTAGGGATTTAGGACCAGCTTAATCAAAGGAAATAGGACTGCAGTCAGGAAGGTTCAGAGTGTGGGCTATAGCAAGGCAGAGGCTGAGACAGTGAGGGGGCCGTCGTGCTGCTCGATGCCCTCTTTGGGATGGAAGGCACCCCATATGATAGAAGAGTATCTGTGATAGCCAATCTCTAAGAGGGCCACCAACAACCACTGGCCTCTCTGTACAAACAGGCCACTGCTCACATCAAAAGACAGAGGTGAGGGGCGCCTGGCTGGCTCAACTGGTGGAGTGTGCGACTCTTGATCTCAGGGTAGGGGGTTCGAGCCCCGCGTTGCGTGTAGGGATTGCTTCAAAATAAAATCTTAGAAAAAAAAAAAAAGGAGGCAATGCCCACTGCTCTTAGGACCTGCTGTATCAGAGTGATGTTCTAGGACTTCTGAGGACTGGAAGCTTCCACTTCCTCCTCCGAAGCCAGCTGCCATGTAGTAAGGAAGTGCAGGCTGTACTGCTGGAGACACTACGTGGAGGCCACGTTGGGAAAACTGATGTGCAGATACAGGAGCGAAGCCTTTATGGACCTTCCAGGTCAGCACAGCCACCTGCTGAATATAGCTGCATGAGAGCTGACACGGGAGACCAGCAGAATGGTCAGCCAGACAACTCCAACTGCCCCGACTGCTAACCCACAGAATCAGGAGAAATAATTTATTGCTTTAGGCCATTACATTTTACAGTAGTTCCTTATCAAACAATCGATAACAATACGGAACCAACAAGTTCTGCATTGCAAAAGCTGAAATAGTTCAATAAGCCCTCATCAAAGTTCTTTTAATTCTGAGAAAATACAAACTAACAAAACCAGTAATAACATCCCATTCCCCCAAATATTTGCAAATTCGACATCCAGTAAGAGACTTATATCCAAAACACATTAAAAACTCTTAAAATTAAAAAAACCCAAGAACTCAATTTTAAAATGGGCAAAGGATCTGAAGAAACATTTCTCCAAAGAAAATATACAAATGACCAACAAGTATATAAAGATACTCAATATCATTAGTCACCAGGGAAATGCAAATCAAAACCGTAACTTTTGTGAAATACTACTTCACACTCGTTATGATGGCTATAATAAAAAAGACAAACAATAACAAGTGTTGATAAGGATGTGGAGAAATTGGAATCTCATACCCTGTCGGTGGGAATGTAAAATGATACAGCTGCTTTCAAAAGCAGTGTGGCAGTGTTACGGTACCATATGATCCAGCAATTCCACTCCTAGGTATCTACCCAAGAGAAATGAAAATGTTAGGTCCACAGGAAAGCTTCTACACACATTTTTGGTTTTGTTTTTCTTTTTTTAAGATTTTATTTTTATGTAATCTCTATGCCCAACGTGGGGCTCGAACTCACAACCCCGAGATCAAGAGTTGCACACTCCACTGATTGAGCCGACCAGGTGCCCCTTGTACACAAATGTTCACAGCATTATTGATAGCCAAAAAGTGGAAGCAATCCAAACAACCATCAACTGATAAACAGATAAATAAAATGCAGCATACCCATACAACAGAATATTATTCAGCAGTAAAATGGAATAAACTACATGCAACAAAATGGTCCGTGGATGAAACTTGAAAATACTACCCTAAGTGAAAGCCAGTCACAAAAACATTTACTGTATGATTGCATTTATATGAAAAGTTCAGAAAAGGCAAATCCATAGCAATGGAAAGCAGGAAGTGGTAGCCTAGGGCTGGGAAAATGGGGAATGCCAGCCAACAGGTATGAAGTTTCTTTCAGAAAATGTTCTAAAATTCAGATTGTTGTGATGGTTGCACCACTCTGTGAATATCCTTACGACCACTGAATTATACACTTTAAATGGGTGAATTGTGCAGTATATGAAACAGATCTCAATAAAGTTATTAAAACAAAGGAAAATGTTTATTATGTATATCCAGAGTGCAGACACCCCTGCGCCTCAGTGCTCAGAGTTCTTCCTTACACTTCCATGTGGTCACAAACACACACCTGTGTGCTCTAACCTCTAAGACCAGATCATGCAGGTGGTTTCTCTTCTGGAAACTGCTTTCTCCAGCTGGTGACCTCTATCTTTCCATTTTGAAAAATGTTCACCTGATCTAAATACTCAGACCATGTCCAAATTTCCTGAATTGACCTCTATATGTCTTGACAGTTGGTTTATCAAAACCAGTTTCCCATCAAGGGCCATAAGTAAGATCTGCTTTTAATTCTTGACACGCAAGGATGTCCTAGAACTCCCAACACCACACTCAGGCACAAAGTGCTCAGAGCAGACCCAGTGCAGCCGAGGGTCTGCACGGTCAGGATGTGCGAGGGAGGCAGGGTGGGTGCAGTGCAAAAGAAAAGCCCCAGGCATCAGCTCCTCTTTGTGCAAGCTGGGTAACCCTACACAAGCTGCTGGCTTCCTTGTGCCTGTTCTGCTTCATTTCTACTAAAACAGCTCTGCCCTGGGGAGAACACTCCAATGAAAGGATGAAAGGAGGTGGTTACATGAAGCCCATGGCACCTGGCCCAGGACGAGAGCTCACACAGCGGAAAGCCTTCCCAACTACTCCACCTGTGACATTCCTAGGCTCAAGGCCTCAACCTCCACAAGCACTGCCTTTAGCACTTAACAAAAGAGGACAGGAATGCTTTTAGGCCCACGTGTCAGGGCCCTGTGGGGCTTTAGTGAGGATCCCATGGGGAACATTCTTATTCGGAGGAGCTGCTGGGACCTCTGTGAGCACCCTACAAGATTCCTGGGAGCTGCTCATGAATGGAGGGTGTTTGCAACAGGGTTGTGGTCAAGGCTGGGCCTGCATCCTGCATGTCCCCCCAGTACCCTCCCTATAACTGTACCATGGACACATGGGAAGACCCACAGCATGCTGCAGGTAAAGCTGACAGTGCCCATGGTCAATCAGAGAGTGGCCACCCCGCCCCCACTCCTCAGGCAGAGAGCTTCCAGAGTCTGCCTTGTACCCTCCCCCTCCTGAGCCTCTGAGCTTTCTGCCCGGGGCTCCACCCACCAGGGCCTTACCCGGGTCTTGGCCTTCAGGAACACATGGCTCTCCATATCCTTGCTGGATTTACTGTGGGCCACACCAGCTTTTCTCATGGCATCCTCACTGTAACACAGAAGAAAAAGAGATGTTCACACATACCTGTAAGTCTGCTCCTGTAGGGTTCCCATGGCCAGCAGGCCCTGCTCAACAGCTGCCCCTGGGTGGAAGAGGCGCTGTCCCCCAGCATAATAGCCTGACTAAGGTCCAGGAGAGGCATATAAGGAGGAACTCTCAGCAGAGTGATAAAGGCAAGCTGAGCAAGGTAAGGGGGAAGAGCCATGAGAAGGAAGAAACAGCAAAGATAGACAAAGGTAGACAAAGCAAAGCAGCTACCCCTGGCAAGAAGGATGAGAGGAGCCAGGCCCTAGGAGTTGCTCACAACCAGCACAAAATCAGATGTACGCAGATGGGGCTCCCTGCTCTGCAGGAAGCCTGTTTCTCCCTCTCCCCCTGCTTGTGATCCTGCTCTCACTGTGTCTCTCTCTGTCAAATAAATAAATAAAATCTTTAAAAAAAAAAAAAAAAGGTGTACGCAGATGGCTGAGCAGCCAGCACCCTCTATTTCCTACCCTCTGAGTGGCCTGGGTACCCCCATGCCAACTCTGGCATTAAGAACAGTGGGACCCCTGGGCCCCTGGGTGGCTCAGTCGTTAAGCGTCTGCCTTCGGCTCAGGTCATGATCCCAGGGTCCTGGGATCGAGCCCCGCGTAGGGTATATGTGTCCCTGCTCAGTGGGAAGCCTGCTTCTCCCTCTCCCACTCCCCCTGTTTGTGCTCCCTCTCTTACTGTCTCTCTCTCTGTCAAATAAAAAAAAAAAAAAAAAAAAAAAAAAAAAAGAACAGTGGGACCCCAGCTCTGGTCTCCTCCTCTGTAAAACAAAGGGGCCATGCAATGTCAACTCATAGTCCCTCCCAAGGTAAAAGTCTCTTTTTTTTTTTTTTTTGAAGATTTTATTTATTTATTTGTCAGAGAGAGAGCGAGCACAAGCAGGGGGAAGTGGTAGGCAGAGGGAGAAGCAGGCTCTCCGCTAAGCAGGGAGCCCAATGTGGGACTTGATCCCAGGACCCGGAATCATGACCTGAGCCAAAGGCAGATGCTTAACCGACTAAGCCACCTAGGGACCCCAAAGTAAAGGTCCTTATGTGGGATGTGCAGGTTCTCCAAGTGGGACCAAGGAGATAAACCTTACAAATGTGGAAACTACTTAACAAATTTGCCAACAGGAGCCTGGGTGGCTCAGTCAGTTAGCCATCTGACCCTTGATTTTGGCTTGGGTCATGGTCTCATGGCTGTGAGGCTGGGCTCCACCCTCTGTGCAGAGTATGCTTGAGATGCTCTCTCTCTCTCCCTCTCCCTCTGCTCCTCCTCCCACTTGTATTCTAAATAAATAAGTAAAATCTTAAAAAACAAAAACCAAAAAAAACACACACATTTGCCAAAACATGTCCAATCAGAGATGGAAGGCTATCACAGGTTTTCACTGGCTGATGCTCTACTAGGATGGAGCCACGCACACCAACTAAGCTTCAGCTCCCTGTGAATGGCAGCACACACCCCGCCAAACACACACAAAGCTAAGAACATGTATGCGTCTGTTAGAAAGGAAGGGGCATGATCGGCTTGGGTCTCAGGGCCTGACCCGCCTGCTCACAGCCTGCTTTCTTCCCAGAGCTGGGCATTCTGATAAACAAATGAACGAACATATCAAGGCTCTGTTGCTTCATCCCAAGAGAATCAAACAAGCCTGGTCCAGCTGGTGCTAGACAGCCTTCTGACGCTCCAAACAAATGAAAAAGCAAACCAACCAACCCACCCCAGGATACTGAAAGAGTGTGCACATGGGGCTGCATGGTCACGTTTGTGATCCTTAAAGGAACCCAGAAAGGAGGCTAGGTGCTAAGACTTAGACAAATCTGTATTAATGTGTAAAGAAACATAAAATGACCCTGACCCACCACACTGATGGATAACTCATTAAACACAGGAGCGCAGTCTCTATCTCCGTCTGCTTCCTCAAGCTGCACTGAGGCAAAGAAGCAGCAACAAGTTCCTGTTGGCCAGACAGCCAGGATGGGGTAGACCCACGCACAGGGGCAATGTGACCAGGGCCACAAGAGTGGGGCAAAAGGAACAATGCAGGAGGACAATGTGGTATCCAACTCGTGGGGAAGCAAGGCAGGCAGGCCGGGAGGACTTAGCCACTGTGAGGCAGGCATCCACACACAGAGATCACCCAATTAGGCTCTAAGTCACTGAGCATCTCCGACAAGAGGTGACTGAGCAAACCCGCTTTCAGAAGGGCACCTCACCTGTGTCCCCCAGGGCCATCCCTGTTCCCTCCCCCACCTTCCAAGAGCAGTGGGAGGCAAACCCTGACATGGAGGCTTGCCAGGGCTGCGGGCCACAGAGCTGCAGACCAATGGAGGAGAGAGCAGTGGACACAGCCAAGAGGGCACTTGCTAGCCTGTGGGACATGCTGGAGGCTGGCTGAGGGGAAGTAGAGAGGTCATGGGTAGAAGGTGGAGCCAGGACCAAGGGGCAAAGCACAAAAAGGCAGACAGGGGAGCTGAGGGCTCTGAGACGGGACTCAGTTATGCAGATGGGCTCTGTGCCCAAGACGAGCAATCCCCGAGGGCTTAGGCAGGCTCCCGGCTGGCTAAAAGTCATCCTCCCCGGGCTGCTGGCTGTCCACTTTGATGGAGTCGGCAGACTCACAGGCCCCACACAAACTATGTGAACCCTGACCGCAGCAAAGACACCTGGCACCATCCGCAGAGGCAAGACACAGACATCAGCTCAAGAGCTTTGAGGTGGGGGGACCTCGCCAGGCCCAAAGGCACCAGATGCCAGGGGATGTGCTGGAGCAGGAGCCCTGCCCCATCCGGGTCCAGGCACCATCACAGATGACACACACAGCAGGGGCACTGGCTGTTACGTGACTGAAAGAGCCTGAGGAACACTGTCAGGTCAGGAGGCCAGAATCAGGCCTTTCTTGACAAGGTAGAATGCACACCTTAGCAAGAGCAAACAGAACTGGGCTAAACGTCCATGAAGGTGCTGGGCAGCTATGAAGCCAAGGAGGAAGGCCGCTCTTCAGCCAGGCGCCAGGACTCTGTGAGACAGCACCGTGCCCATGTCGCGTACGTGTCCCTTCCACTGCTGCACACAACGCCTGCCCAAACAGGCCCTGCATATTTGTTGGCTGAAGAATGAGCAGGCACCCTGAGCAGTGTTTTCAGTTCTGCAAACCGTATTTTAAAAAATGTTTTTGCTCCTGTTTCTAGTCTGCAGATGAGGCAAAAAAGAAACCAGGCAGTTCTGCTTCTGTTACCATTCCCACATTTTCCCCCAAGGAGGGCTTGTCCTTTCCTTTTCAGCCGGCTCAGCATCTTGTCAGAGGTGCCCATCCATTATCTGGTTCTAACCGCACAGGGAACAGCTTCTCCCATCAGTGCTTAGGGGGTGGTGTCCCTCCTTCTGTACCAAGGACCAGCATGCCCACTGCATGAGCCTGTCGTGGGTCCCAGCCCCACATTCAGGGCGGCCCCCGCACAGATGTAGGACCGGCTGCTCTCCCCCTCTGCTGTGTCCCCAGGATGCCTACAGGAGCAGGGGGACCTGGATGGCCATTCCTCAGCCTCTGTGTCCAGAAAACAAAACCTTCCAGCAACCGTCACTAAGCAAACGCAAACTAGCACACAAGAAGAGAGCCCTAAAGACAGAGTGGTGGTTACAGCCTCAGAGAAACAACTTAGAAGAACCAGCAAGTCCTAGTGAGCTCCGCCCACACACAAGCAAGCCTGAGGTCAGTGCCGGGAATACAAGGGCCTGCCCAGTCAGGGGAGGTCAGGGAGCAAAACCAGGGTCAGCTCACAAAGGGTGGACCCTAACTGTGGCTATTGTGCCACAGTTCCAATACCAAGGCAGTTGTCCCCAAACCTGAGACTGCCAGGAAGGCACCAGCACCATAACAGAGGGGCCTGTCTGCTGGCCACTGCCTGGGTGTGCCCAGCCCTCTGAGGAGATGGATGGAGGACTGACACTGGCTCAGAGCACGCAGCCCGTTGCTTCAAGCTGGGCTCCACAGCTCCCCAGGTACAGCTTCTTCCTGGTCGCCATGGCTACACCAGTCTGCCTGGTCAGGGTTCAACTGGTGTCTGGTTTAGGCCTGAGTCACCTGGGGGAGGACCTGATCCATCCCACAGGCCCTGTGAACTCCACCACCAAGAGGTCGGAGGAGGAGGGCTTCCTGCCCAGACCCTGCCTGCACAGAGGGCAGTGACACACCACTCTGTAACCCTAGCTCTGTGTCTGTCCACCGATCGCCCACACTGGAAACTTGGGAACCCCCTCTTCACTTCCACATTCTGACCTCTGTTCCTTGAAGTTTAAACCTTCCCCCCATCTCTCACTGCACCTGTGGTAGTCCTTCCTGATGGGCCTCTGTCTCCACCCCCACCACCTCCGCCAGCGCCCTAAGCCACATGACTGCCAGTGGGAGCGGGAAGTGGCCCAGGCTATGTCCCCGCCTGCAAGGGCCTTGCTCCTTCCCAGCAAGGCAGACAGCCATGGAGCACACTCCCTCACCCTTCCAGGGCCCTGCTGCCAAGCGTGCTGATGCCCAACCACCCCACCAGCCTGTTAGGCCCTCCAACCGTGCTCCTACCCAGGCACCCCACTTTCTGCCTCACAGAAACCTTGTAACACACCTGTTGCACCTCCTGTGGAAGTATAGGCTCCCTTTCGGTCGGCCATGCCGTCCTGCGAACACCTTGAGAGCAGGGACTGGTATGCAGCAGGCAGTAATCAGCACCAGACAAATAACTGGCTATTTTTAACACAAGGAGTGGTAATGCCATGCATTTCTGATGGGACATGATGTGCAGAACTAGCATCAGTGTGACAGGTACAGGGGAAACCAGGCCTCAAACGAGCACGTCCAGGCAGCAGAGACCAGGGTGACGGGAAAAGTATGTGCTGGGGTGGGTGAAGTACTGGGCACTGGACCTGCAGGAAGCAGACAGAGGAAGAAGGGCCTGGGCTCCGGAATCACACAGACCTCACACAGACTGGGGCTCAAATTCCGACCTGGCCACTCGCCAGCTCTGGGTCTTGGGAGAGGCGCTCCATCTCCCACACACGCTACTCATAAAGGAGCTCTCTGAAAGGGCTGTGGCCAGGATGAAGGGAGGTGCGCAGAACAGGCCAGGGTGTGAGGCCAGGCCCAGCCTTGGCCCGGCCTACAGCGCTCCTGTCCAGTATCTGGCCTGCTCTGCGGCCTCAACTCTTCCCTGTCCCCAAACTGGGAAACTCAATTCATCACCTAGAGTTGGTTCCTAGTCTTTGTAATCTGAATCAGTACAGGATAAAGCCAAAAACCTAGCAAACTGTGTGTCCTGGGAAGGTACACATGGCTGTAAGCTCCAAGTGTGCTAATGCCCCCGTGTGCCCCTTACCACTCCACCCCCAAGCCGGTGACCCTGGATAAAACATCCCCTTGCGGGGCCTACGCATCCTCACCTCATGGGGCTGGTCTGAGGATTATAGTAGCTAACGACGTCAGGCACTTGGCACATAGGAAGCACTAGGGTGTGTTACAGAAATCAGAACAGTCTGCCTAACTGCGCAGTAAGACCGCATCCCAAAATATCTCCAACGTTCAATGACGCTGGTGTCGCCCCCTTCCTAGCAGATGACAGCAGTGAGTGCGTGCAGCTCCCTCAGGCAGAGCTGCTGTCCCCCTGAAGCTGAGCCACCTGGAAGCATGCCCTCAGGGCACCCAGCTGGCAAAACACTTCTCAGAAAGGGCCTGTGCACAGGTATGCCGATGAGAAGCATTCTGCGGCCTTCTCTGCCCTCCAGCTGCCTGACCTTCCCCTCATGCTCCATTCCAAAGGGCCATGGTTCACACCCAGGGGCCTTCCCACCTCTCCCGACAGCACCCTCCTCAACACCGCCCCTTCTCCAGGTTCAACCTCCTTTTCCATTGCTGAACATGTGCTTGCATTCACAGGAGAGCGAGGCCCTCTGCTTGGTCTCCTGCTGCTGTCTAAACCAGGAAGGTTCTTTCTCCTCTCAGTGTCACAGACTCACCCTCCTGCCTCAGGTGGACAGGATGCCCACCCATCTGTGTGAGGTTTTTGTTCTGCCCAGAGGAAGGCTCTCCTCTTTTGAGAACCACACACTCATCAACCAACTGACATCTCATGGGGCAGGAGTTTTGACAGCCCTGCCTCACCCCACCCTACAAGAGAAGCTTCCAGATGAAGTGGCCCCTGTGTGTGCAAAGAATCTGTTCACCCACCTGGGACAGGACTTTGCAGCTTGCCTGGGTGACCCTTCACCCTGTATGTGTAAAAGCCCCAATCATCAAAGTACCAGACAACGACAGGAAAATAGTTATATAATATTGGGCTGAGGAAGGCTTTCCTAAGCACAACATCAAAAGTAGATACCAGGGGCGCCTGGATGGCTCAGTCGTTAAGCGTCTGCCTTCGGCTCAGGTCATGATCCCAGGGTCCTGGGATCGAGCCCCACATCGGGCTCTCTGCTCAGTGGGAAGCCTGCTTCTCCCTCTCCCACTCCCCCTGCTTGTGTTCCCTCTCTCGCTGTGTCTCTCTCTGTCAAATAAAT